CACTCCTTTTTTGTATGTTGGAAATTTGGAACATCCAGTGTAACTAGTGAGTACCTGTGCAGTTTCTATTCTGCACTATTAGAGCAACCTGCTGTTACCTCATTGAATGGTTCAGTGTCCAGGTTGGAGGTATCCTTGTAAGAGAAATGGCAAGTGGCAGAGCAGCACAGCCCTGAGGGTCGGCCTCCATGTCCACCACTCTGCCACCTGACTGGCTCTCTGAAAAATTTGTGAGAAAGTCTTCGTTCATGCATGCTCTTCACAACTAGTAGAGGTTTTCTATTGGAAATTATATTAGAGTGGCACTGGTCATGCTTTGCAAAGGATGAGAAGGTATTTCAAAGGTGAACAGGCAGAAAGGCATTCATTGCGGAGGGGAGTTCTTTAAGGGGCAGCACTGTGGCTGAGCATTGCCTGACCGCCGTTTTAATGCTGGCTCGTAGTGCTGCTTTGCTCAATTAGTGGGTGAAGTAAGTGTCCACTGTGCTGTGTGAGGAGGCTGTCAGGAAGGATGCTGACAGGTTCTTTGTGTTTCAGGATTACAAACTGCCTAATGCTCCCGGCTATGGTTTTTACCCTTGAGAAGACTGTGCTCTTGCTCTGTTTCAGCAATTTTTTTCTTATTATTAATTAAAAATTCCGTTTTAATTTTTATTGAATTTTTGGGGTGACAGTGGTTAATAAAATGATGTAGGTTTCAGGGGTACAATTCTATAATACATCATCTGTATATTGTATTGTGTGTTCACCACCCCAAGTCAATCTCCTTCCACCACCATTTTTCCTACCTTTACTCTCTTCTGTCTCCCCCCACCCTATTTCAGTGATTTTTCAACCTTTTTCATCTCATAGCACACATGAACTAATGACTACAATTCTGTGACACTCCAAAAAATAACCTGATCTGACAAAAGAGGGTGTAATTGTGATTCATTCACATCAGATGGCTGTTGTGTTGGCTGTTGTCATTTTTTAATTGGATAGTCTATGGCAGTGGTTCTCAACCTTGGCTGCACATTAGAATCACCTGGAAATCTTTTTAAAATCCTGATTTCTGGGCCTCATCCTCCGGAAATTCTGTTTCTTTGTTACTAATGATGAGGCCCAGAAACCAGGATTTTAAAAAGATTCCCAGGTGATTCTAATGTGCAGCCAAGGTTGAGAACCACTGGTCTAAGGGGGTAGGTCAATGCCCTGACTAAACAGTCATTATTGCCTGTTTTAAACATTCTTGCGGCACCCCAGTGTCCTCTTGTGGCACACTGCTTGAAAGTCACTGCTCTATTTCTGCTGATTTGCTGAACGTTGAGAAAGTAGGGCTTTCTTTGCCTTGAGAATTTGCCTTTACGTTTTGGCTGACTTCCTTCCAAAGCTTCCCATATGCTCTGTTGTTTGCAGATGGTACAATAGATTCTTGGACACAAAGCTGTGTTGAGGTTTTGCGAAACAGCCAGAAACACCCCTGTTCGGTGTCATTGCCCAATCATGGATGCAGGATTTGAGGTCATTAATCGTGGGATCCATTCCCAGTCAGAGGCTAGGTGTTAGAGAATAAGTCTTAACCTAGACCCATGGTTTCATTTCCACACACCCCTATACAGAAAAAATTAGTTATCATGTGTTGTTTGGCATAATTGATATAGATGGTAATAGCCTCTTATTTTTCTAGCCCATTTCAGACTTGCTGATTTTAAGATTAATATATATATGTATTTGCCCTGCAACAGCCGTTAGCTCAATCTGATAAATATACATTTTCATATGGGTAATTTTGGAAATGTGCATTATGCACTTAATGGATTGTATCAGCTTTGCGCAGTTCTTCCAGAACTGCTAGCTTTCTGATTTAAAACAAAAAAAGCTCTTTAAAAAAAATAAATAAAAGGTGTCTGCAGTGCTTGTGTTGGTCATGGGGGATTTTCAGGTTGAGGATCATTGAGACCAGCTTCAGATAATCCATGCACTCATAAATTGCATGAAAATTCTTAGAAAATAATTTTGGCTTTAAGCTATTACTGGGCATATAATCCAACTGAAATTTTAACATTGCTCTTGATTTAAGTTCTCATCTTTCCCCTTCCAAATAAACAGCTTTATTTGGGGGCTAACTATAGACATCTATATAAAGTTATTTTCTTAAATAGCTGCTTAATTAATGAGATAGGGAAATATTCATATTCTTATGAATATTTGGCCTTATTTTGTTTTGAAAATCATTAAGAAGAATAAGTAGATTTCTGTGTGTATGAGACTTAAATTCCAAATGGTTTCTTAGACTATATTCTTTTAGTTGGATCACCCTAATTTTTATGGGTTATAAAGAAAAGTTATAGAGATCACTTAATACAGTAACAGATTACTAGCCTTGGACATTGGACTCTCGTGTGAATTTATAGCTTTGGATCAATTTGGGTTGCCATGATAGCTAAGTAGATTTCTGTGTGTATGAGACTTAAATTCCAAATGGTTTCTTAGACTATATTCTTTTAGTTGGATCACCCTAATTTTTATGGGTTATAAAGAAAAGTTATAGAGATCACTTAATACAGTAACAGATTACTAGCCTTGGACATTGGACTCTCGTGTGAATTTATAGCTTTGGATCAATTTGGGTTGCCATGATAACTTATTTACTTACTTACTTATTTATTTATTTATTTGTTTGTTTATTTTTAAAAGCACTCTTTTGCTTTAGAAGCAAAGCCAAATTTTTTAAAAATATATTTTTATTGATTTCAGAGAGAAGGGAGAGAGAGAGATAGCAACATCAATGATGAGAAAGCATCATTGATTGGCTGGCTCCTACACGTCTCCTACTGGGGTTCCAGCCTGCAGTCTGGGCATGTGCCCTTGACTGGAATCGAACCCAGGACCTTTCAGTCCGCAGGCCGCGATGCTCTATGCACTGAGCCAAACTGGCTAGGGCCCATGGTAACTTTTTAAACAGAAAGAAGTGACTGTTTATCTAGTAATAAGTCATTAGTAAGTAAATGTGTTAATTCCATGTCAGATTTGAGAATCTGCTTTCTGCCTTATCCCCTCATGGCAGTGTTTCTCAAGTCAGGAGTGTGAGGAGGCTTCCAATAAGACTGCAGATAAGTGTTTAAGCAAAGGGATGTCATCTGTATATTGTATTTTGTGTTCATCACCCCAAGTCAGGTCTCCTTCCATCACTATTTTCCTCCCTTTACTTCCCCCCCCCCCATTTCAGTGAGGACTTTCTTCATGGTTGACCTTTATTCCCTTCTCTAACAGTTACATCCAGATGTGTTTACAGGTAATCATTTTCCTGAATGTCACTTGGCAGTGAGAGATGAGAGAATATAGTTTCTCTCTTTTTTTTCTGGGAAGTGTTTTTACACACTACAAATTAATAACTGCTTTGTGTCTCAGTAAGAGGGCTTATAGTAATAATGATTCTATTGATTTTGAAAAGTACATATAGAGCTTTTCTTTATGTAAAAAGAACAAAGTTGCCCATAGTTTTCACCCTCTAAGCATCTGTCATATTGAATGCCAGGCACCAGTTCTCGGTGGTTGCAGAGAACACTAAAGTGAGTAAGTTTCTCTGAGTTCAAAGCTCAGCAATAGTAATGTGGACAGTGCAGACCATCTGACTGCCAAATAATTGGACAGGCAACTTAAACTGTTAATTTTATGTAAAAGAAAGGAGATGGATGTTTCTTTATAGAGGAGCCATGAGAATTCACTGCTGCTGGAGGTGACTCCTTATAAGGCTGCAGGTGCTGGCAGAATGAAGGAGTGAAAAGGTTTGGCATGGGTGGAGGTAGTGGTGTTGGTGTTTCTTTTGTAGAATGCAGCCTAGTGGAAGATGAGATGTGGTGGATGTGGTATGGGATCAGACCACTGAATATGGAAAATTTTTGTTCTGTGGGCTTTAAGAACGGGTAAGTCATTCGTTAAGAAAATGACCTGTTAATTTTGAAGCCAGTGAATAGTAGCTAGGTATGACAGTGTTATGTATGAAATAGGAAGAAGAGGGCATATACACTGTCCTTTGTGTTCAGGTTGAGTGGGATGAGTAAATAATTGATATCTAGAGATTTGACATACAGGTACAATAGGGATTAGAACACAGAAATTAAGACCCTTAGGTGTCCCAAAATTGTGCAGATTGGAGCTATAGTTTTTACTTAGGAATGAATTTCTTCTGTTTTTGTTTTTTAAATGTTTTTATTGATTTTTAGAGAAAGAGGAAGGGAGAGAGAAAGAGAGATAGAAACATTGATGAGAGAAACATCCATCATCGATTGGCTGCCTCCTGCACGCCCCTACTGCAGATCGGGCCCACAATCAGGGCATGTGCCCTGACCAGGAATTGAACCAGTTATCTCTTGGTGCATGGGATGATGCTCAGTCCACTGAGTCACCCCAGCCGGGTGGATTCTTCTGCTTTTACTTGAATACCAAATACGAGAGAGGAAGAGAGATATCTATGTGCCATAAAGTGTGTTTAGGTTAAAATTTATAGTGAAAAGATCATTGTAATGGCATGTTCAAGCTAGTCATTTTTACATTTCATTTCTTTCCTCACAAAATAATAATTGAAAATAAAGTAGCACTTGGTCAAGCCATTTCTCTTTATAATGATGAGGCATCTATTTGAATAAGATATTCAGGATTTTGTCTTGGTAGCAAGATATTCAGGTTTTGTCTTGGTGGGTAAATTTGAGCAAGTACCTTCAACTGAATGTGGATACTCCCATGGGATTTCCTCCTCCCCCTTCTTCAGGGACCCTGAAAACAATAATTGAGGCTTTATCAAGTTCTTTAACAGAAAAGTGGTAAAAAAAAGAACCCAAGGGCTGCTTCCCTTTAGCTTAAAATTACTAGTAATTTAATATTACCTTTGAGAAAAAAATTTTCTCTAAAAAGTATGTGCTTTGTCATTTATTTATGTGTGCAGTGGCTTTATGGGCCCTGTCTTTGTTCCCTTAAAGGTAAATGCCATTGTTTTAAAATTTCTTTTTCTTTTAAAGACTGTGTGTATATCGAGAGTCGGAGACCAAACACACCGTATTTCATCTGTAGCATTCAAGACTTCAAACTGGTAAGCATTTTTTTCACGTGCTCTTGATTCTTCTCTGGACCTTCTCTTTCCAGTTCCTCTGGCTGTCTCATGGTTGCTTGTCTATCGTATTGATTTTATAACCAGTTTACCTTCTTGAGTGCTAACGCTCCCTGGTGGCAATAGCACTCACACAAGGCAGTCACCAGTTTTATCTTCCCAGTTTTGTGACACTTAGATTTACAAAGCTCATATTGTAAATAATGTGTGTAAAGTTTCCTTCCTCTCATAGGTGTTTTAACATCAATTTCTGAGATTCCCTTGAGTTTCTGAAGTAGTTTGTTTCTTCTCAGCCATTGGGAAGAGCCTGAAGAAGAGTAATTTTGGCATTTGATGATTGGAGAAAAAGAATGTACATGGGCCAGAGACTGGTTTCGGTGGTGACCATAATTAATTTACTTAGATATTGTAGTGAGTGTGGAGTGTATCTTAAATCTTTTTTTGGGGTCTCCAAGTAGTGGAGGTTGGAAGTCTGGCTCAGGGATGGTATAGCTATAGTACTTTCTCATTAAAAACTTTTCCTAAGTTCATTAAGTATTGATGTTGCCCGCTATGATCTCTTTGTTTTGGACCAGTGGTCCCCACACTAGGGGTTTTAGATCCCTGGATATCTGTAGAGATTTTGCAAAGTCTGCAAGTAAACATTCTCAGTCTTAAATAAATGTACCTCACACATCTGTACAACTGCTTTTCAAATGTATTAATATGCTGCTGTGGTTTTAAAAATTTACTTATTTAATGATAATATGCACTGAAGAATCCCTGTTTATTAGGTATTTCCTCAAGCGGTTGATAAGTGAAATACTACTGAAGTACTGTTATTTGGGGATCTTTTGAAACATTTAGATCTTAAAAAGGGATCCCTGTACTTGAAGGATTGTTACCACTCTCTAGTTTTAGATGTAGAGAAATCCTAATCCTAATTTGTAGAGACTTTATCAGTGTCTGTGACTGTCCTTATTTCAAAAACCCCTTGAAACGTTTGACAATTAATTATATGTGATATTTCAGTCTAAGGAAAAGTAATGCAGTAGTCGGAAGAGATCTTTAACTCCCCATCTTCTTTGTTTCTGATGCCCCAAATATCTAATTAGCATATTCCAATTTAGTTAATAAGTGCATGCCGTTTATTTTTTTTTCTTAAAAAATTACTGCATAAGTAATACATGCTGACTGTTATAAAAGAAAGTCAAATGTGCCATTTACTCCCGAGGATTACACTTGGTAAACTGCTTTCAACTTCCTTGCTTGTTTTGCAAGATGGCCTTGCAGTTTAATCTTGTAAAAGTCAACTGCTTTTTATTCAGAATTTATGTCAACACAAAGTTTTATCATTTTAGAGGTCTTTGTTATTTGTTACATGTTTCCTTTCAAATATTTTTTACAGAAGCTACACTGACATTTGAAAATCTGGGCGGTGGCCTTGTTTCCTGAAGAGTTTTGTTTGGCTAGTGGCTGCTGCTACTGCTCTTTTTCTGGTCACTGTCTTTGTGTGTGATTTTTATCAAATATAATACCAGTGCACCATGGAAAAGATACAGCTGTGAAATAAAATTGCAAAGATTTTTCTTTTACCTTTTAGAACCTGAGCCCCTTTTGTACAATTTGTGCACAATGGCTGGTGCCTTCATGTTTGTACAGCGTTGCTTATGAAATGCTGATTATAATGTGATAGTCCAGGGCAGAGGTTCCTGCTGAGTTATAGTAATTGCTCAGGGTATTAACAGCAATAAAAGCTGAAGCTTCTGTTGTCAGTATTGGTCTAGTACAACACACTAAAGCTGTATGCAAAAACAATGTGGGAAAAGGGTAGGGTGCAGTATGTTAAGATACCTTTTTCTAAATCACACACTGCTATGCCTTATGGGTTTTTTTGTGTGTTTTTTTTTGAGTTCTGTATTCAGCACACATCATAGTTAATGTAAAAATAACAGTGATATTGAAATATTTACTACTGGAAGGAATATAGTTATCGTCTGGATATCCGCTTTCTTCTTTCCTTGGTTTTCAATACTATTTACGAAAAGGTAATCTAATAGAGGAGAATAATTATAGGTTGTTGTTTTTTTCTTCTTCAGCTTACCCAAGCTATAGGGGAAAGGATGAACAGAAGGAAATAAGCTTTTTTTTTTTTTTTCCTCTGCAAGATTTTAAAAAGAAGAAATTGGAGTTGATTTTGCCCACAGGAAATACCATGCATGACAAGTGGAACAATGGAAAACAAAAGCCAATAGCTTTGAAATGTTGTTGATTATTTTATCTTTATTTGGTTTGGGGTTGTAACTAAAATGTATTTCTTTGTTTATACCACTGATTATAATTAATCCTTTTACCATGGTGAGTTTGTGAATATAGTTATATTTGGGGACTGTATAAAGAATTGGGCGAATGCCCCTTATGGTACATGTTAGCTAAGAGTACAGTGTTAAACACATCAGAGACTAAAGAATTGAGAAGTGGACTTAAGGAGACAACTACCACTAGTCACTAGCACAATGCCAGTGTATTGGACTGAGGACCCTGGGTAAGAAGGGTCTTTGGATTTTATGCAGGGATCTGATTGTCTTCCCATAGATTCTGAGTCCATGATAGGAAACATAGCTGCTTCTGTTGACCAGGTTTACATCTGTTGTCCTGGTAAACTATTAAACAGTGTCCCTTTTCACTCAAAGGTGTCCCTATTGGGGTGACAGGTTATATGGGGATGGGAATCATGGCTTCCATTTTATTAACACTTAACCATCAAAACACATACATAAGGCCTCTCTGTCCTACATTGGTAGATATATTTAGAACCTGCACTTCCACAGGGGTAGGTGAAAGCTATGATGTTGCAAAAAAATTGAGTTCCTAACAGAACTGAGGTTTTTGGAAGTAGCATTTTCAAGGGAAGGGAATTATTTGTTCTATTAGGATGCTTTCATTCTCTTCGGAAGTATTCATTAGATGGGCTTATTTACAAATGGGGGGACTGGGTTTGTTTGACTACAATGGCAGAAGTATCTGAGGAACATGTGAAAAGCAGGGGCAGGAGAGGTAAGGTTGAATTATGGACAGTGTATGCTTAGAAGCAGGAAGAAAGAGGGATCATCAATTAAATAAGGCAGCTTTACACCTTAGGCTTCTGAATTAAATATTAAAGCAGTTGGCAAAATCTTTAGCTCTTGGAAAGAACAGTAATGTGGAATGGCAATCTATGATCTTTGTGGCCTGGCTTGATGAACTGAGAGACTGAGTAGCTAGCAGGGAGGGCAAAGCTAATGGGATGAGTCAAGAATTGCCTCAGTGAGAGGGGGCTGGGGCAGGTGTAAGCAGGTCATAGGCAGGCTGGTGTGATGGGCAGGACGCCAGGGAAAGCAGAGAGTTGGAACATTGCAGAGCTGAGGGGGAGAGTGCTCGCCTCCTTGAGCTCTCCGGATGTGGCTTCCAGGTGGAGTGAGAGTTCCCCTCAGTGAAGCCTCTTCTTGGCCAGTTTGAGTTGATCTCAGTAATTGCAACTGCAAGAGCTTAGCATTCCACCCTCCACCCTTTCTTCTGCTGCACTCCCATAGCTTTTCTGGTCACTGTGTGACTTGGTGTTTTGTTTTTTTTTTAACATATATTTTTATTGATTTCAGCGAGAAAGGAAGAGGGAGAGAGAGATAGAAACATCAATGATGAGAGAGAATCATTGATCGGTTGCCTCCTGCAAGCCCCCCCAGTGGGGATCGAGCCCCGCAACCCGGGCATGTGCCCTTGACCGGAATCGAACCTGGAACCTTTCAGTTCCCAGGCCGATGCTCTATCCACTGAGCCAAACCAGCTAGGGCGTGACTTGGTTTCTTAGAGAATTTTGTTTCTGAATGAGTCGGTCTCACCAAGGAGCATTATATCCCAGAGTGCAATTAAGAATGTTTTGGGTTGGCCCTAACCGGTTTGGCTCAGTAGATAGAGCGTCGGCCTGCGGACTGAAAGGTCCCGGGTTCGATTCCAGTCAAGAGCATGTACCTTGGTTGCAGACACATCCCCAGTAGGAGGTGTGCAGGAAGCAGCTGATCGATGTTTCTCTCTCATCGATGTTTCTAACTCTCTATCCCTCTCCCTTCCTCTCTGTAAAAAAATCAATAAAATATATCTAAAAAAATGTTTTGGGTTGTAATCAGGGCCTTTGACAAGCATTTATTGAAAACTTACTTTGTGTTCTTTGCTGGGTGCAGCACCATAATGGGGGCTGAAGAATGTGAGATCTAGTTCCTTCCCTCTGATTGTAGGTTCTAAGGACAGACAGCGGTGGCGTTTTTGGATATCAGTCCTCTTTGGAGAACATTGAATAAGATTGATGTGGGGGAAGACATTCAGTTTTTGTCCCCAAGAAAGATTTCTTTCTTGCTTTTACTAAAAAACAACAAAATTCCATATTTATAGAAACCCAGGCCTTAGCATAATAGAGTTAATGTGCTATCTAGAAATAATCATGGATTCTGAGAATGCTCAATAAGAAGATCATTGAGATTAGTAATTTCCATTCAGTATAATACCCAGGAGTTTCTGGTCTGGGTCTAGCAGTAGTAGTTCATACCTAAGTCTTCATTCACAGGTAAGTAATCGAAGCTGTTCCTTTAATATTCTACATGGGAATTTTGTGTGGATTCTTAATGAATTTCTGTCATTTATGCAGCAGAAAAAGTATGATTTTGGTTTCTTTGAGTTACAGTTATCTATCTATTCTTCAGTTGTTATATGAAATGAATTTTCAGGTAGGATATATAATTATTACAAGTATTATTTTGAGCAAATAACATTGATTCACTGGGCTCTTATTTGGTTAATTAAAACTAGGAAAGTTATTAAATTTATACCTGGTCTAAACATTCCTCAGAGTTGGGGATATGTCATTAAGAATATTATGGTTATATCCAGTTTACTGTTTAGGGCCCAATGTGTTGTTATGGCTCTGCATGAATGAGTGTGCTGTTGTATCATTTATGTCCCTAACAGTTTAA